CCGCCCCCCGAGCCCGCACCCCGCACCCTCCGCACCCCCTGCCCGCCCCGCACCCCCCGAGCCCCCCGCCCTCCCCTCCCTCCCTCCCCGCCCCGCCCGGGGCCGCCCCGCCGGCGGCAGCTCCGGAGCGCGGGGGCGGCCCCGGGGCCGGCGCTTCCCGGTGCCCGGCGGGCAGGAGCGCTCCCGGCGCCGCCGCCACGGCTCCCGTTCGCTTCTCTCCGCCAGGATTCCCGGGAGGATGGCATGGATTTAGGCAGCGACGCCGGCAGCAGCCGCTCCAGCTCGGAATCCAACTCCAGCAAAGCCACGCCGTGCTCGGAGGGCAAGTCCTCGCCGTGCCCCAGCAGCCTGGACCTGGCGGCGCTGGAGGACTCGGAGGAGGACTCGGAGGAGGAGGACGGGGGGTCCCCGCCGTGCCCGCCGCGCTGCCCCGCCGCCCATGGGCGCGGGTGCGGGTCCGTGCCCGCCGGTCCCCCCCGGCGCTCCGCCCGCCCGCACCCCCCGCCCCGCACAGACCGGGGGGCGGCCGCGGGGCCGGGAGGGCGGAGGGGCGGCGGGGCGAGGATCCCCCGGGAGCCGCAGCCCCCCGCGATGGACTGGGCAGCCCTGGAGAGGCACCTGGCGGGGCTGCAGTGCCGGGAGCAGGAGAGAAACCCCCGCGCCAACCCCGCCTCGGTGAGTGGGGAAGGGTCGCGGTGCCGGGGAGGAGCGGAGGGGGGGACTGGGGGGAGGCGTTTTGGGGGTCGGTGGTGGAGGTTGGAGGGAGGAATTGGTTTGTTCTGGTGGGATGGCACCTGGAGTGCTGCGTCCAGCGCTGGGGTCCCCAGCGTAAGGATGTGGAGCTGCTGGAGCGAGGCCAGAGGAGGCCACGGAGATGCTCCGAGGGCTGGAGCTCCTCTGCTCTGGAGCCAGGCTGGGAGAGCTGGGGGGGGTTCACCTGGAGAAGAGAAGGCTCCGGGGAGAGCTGAGAGCCCCTTGCAGGGCCTGAAGGGGCTCTAGGAGAGCTGGAGAGGGACTTGGGACAAGGGATGGAGGGACAGGACAGGGAGGAATGGCTTTAAGCTGCAGGAGAGTGGATTTAGATTGGATACTGGGAAGGAATTCTTGGCTGTGAGGGTGGGGAGGCCCTGGCACAGGTTGCCCAGAGAAGCTGTGGCTGCCCCTGGATCCCTGGAAGTGTCCAAGGCCAGGTTGGACAGGGCTTGGAGCAACCTGGGCTAGTGGAAGGTGTCCCTGCCCAGGGGCTGGAATGAGATGAGCTTTAAGGCCCAATTCCAACACAATCCATTCTGGGGTTTTCTAACTTTCCTGGAATATCTTTGGCCACGGCGGGAGCTGGTTCCCTGCTACTCCAGGGATGGGGCCGGGGATGCTGTTGGTGCCTGGTGGGTGCAAGGTGCCACCACCAGGCTGTCTGAGAGGTGGCTTTTCCTTGGAGAGGCAGAGGAATAACAGCTTTCCCCAGGCCGGGAGCGGTGCCAGGCTGGCGGTGCACGTTCCCCTTTCCTAAGGGAAAGAATCTTCCCTAAGAACCTGCTGTTTGTCAGCCAAGACGAAACCCCCAAACGCTGTTTTGCAGCAAACCCTGTAAATTGTGGTGTGATCTCACTCTTTGCAGAGTGACTTAGGAATTGCTCAGAACTTCGGAGCTGCAGTGGTGTTGTGTGAACAAGCACTGCAGACACACCGGTGACTCTGGTTGAGACTCTTCCATAATGTATGAATTCAAACGAATCCACAAAATCTCCTGGAAGCTCTGCAGGGAGCTTTGGGATGCGCTGGAACACGTGATGAGCCGTGTGTGCCTCCCCAGCCAGACCCTCCAGCCTCGTCTCTGGCTTTTCCTCAGGATTTTTTGGGTTTTTAAAAGGCATTCCAGCCCTTTACTTCCTGTGAAGTCATCGAGCTCAGGGAGGTGGGGATTTCCCCCCAAAGCCTTGAATTACAACTAATTGGTGACAAATCTGGGTGGGTGCTGGGCACGATGAGTAAGCTGAGGGCTGAGTGGGACTGCACCCACAAGGGGTGCTTTTTTCCAAAGCCTGAACGTTGTAGCCTCCGTGCCCTGAGGAACTGACAGGTAACATCCTTAATTACAGTCATTTGTGCAGAAACTCGGCTTAAAGAAAAAATACCCTCCTCATTTTTGTGGTCTAGGAGCTCCTTTTTGCAGCCTTATCTGATCAACTCTGCTGGCAGCACCCACTGCTGGAAACTCTTTGCCTCCAGGCATGTGCTTCTCCAGGTGAGCTGTCAGCGAAGGAATTTTGCCTGTTGACCCCTGTAAGGATTTTCCTCCTCCATCCTCCCCTTCCCTCCTGCCAGCACAAAGGCTCTGGAAGGCAATCAGGCTGCCTCACGCCCCGACTTGTCCCGCAGAGAGCCGGGGTTTGCAGTGCTGTGCAAACCCAGCGCTCCTCAGCAGCACATGGAGCTGGTGATGGACACCCCAGTTTGGGAATCGAGGAGCCCAACACCTTGAGAGCACCTCCCAGGGGTAGGACTGAGGTGCTGCTTCTCTCACACCCACAGCAACTGGTGGTTTTCACTCTACAGTGAGTTTTCCAGTGGAGAGACCTTCCTCCACTCTCCACCCCACTGGCTGTCCTGGAGGCACCTGAGGAAGTCCCTGGTTTGCTTCCCATCCTTGTGTTTGCTCCAGGATTCCCCTTCCCCTGGCTCACAGGGTGGAGGAGGAGATAGTCCAGCTCTGCTCCTTCCACTTCCCACCTGGATCAAAGGGAAAGGGCTGTTGGCAGCTGCCCAGACCCTGCTGGGAAGGGACATTTCACCTCCTGGCTGGCTCAGAAGGGGTGTTTGATGCCCCCGTGGTACCTCCTGCCCCTCCTGGGCTGTGTCTGTAGCACCCAGTGTTCCCCTGCATGGACTCAATACCTTCAAGGCTAAACCAGACCGAAGAGAAGATCTCTGGTTTTATTTTTGTTTTTCCTGCCCTTGACATTTCCCTGCGGTTCAGTGTCTTGCTGTTTATAACAAAACCTTGCCTTGCCCTGCTGGAAGCCCGAGTGTTTGTAAACATGGGAATCATGAAGTGAAAGCAGCCAGGAAAAAAGTTCCGAGGGGATGGACTGGGCTGCTCCAACTGCTGCAGAATATCTCAGGAAAAGGGAAATTTCACCAGTACAGGCCTTGGCTGGTATGGTCTGAAATCATCTCCTCACCAGGGACGGGATGTGAAAGCAGCTGCTGCTCTGAGTGCAAGTGTTTCTCAGGCTGATTTGTGTTCTCAGGAATCCAGAGGGATGTTTTATTAAGAAAAATAGAGTCCCTTCTGCTGTCAGCACCTGTATTTAGTTGCTTTTATGGTGCTCCAAGAGGAGGCAGGGCAGAGATCACTGCAGTGGGACAGGAATGACCCGTCACAGCTCGATCTGGGCTCAGCTTTGCTGCCCACTGTGTTCCTCACCGTGGGGTCACACGTGGGGCTGGGTGACTGGAGAGGAGCCCTGGCTGCTCCATCCCTCCCTCCTGTCCCTGGTTGGCTCCTTCCCAACCCGGTTTTGGGAGTTGCTGGTGCTCCACAAGCCTGCAGTGACCTGTGCTGTGTCCTTGCAAGCCCATGGGGACCTGTGCCAAGTCCTTGCTGAGGGACAGCACTCGTGTTGGACTCATAGGAGGAGGAAATTCTCCCTTCTAAGGAAGCTCTGAGATGGTTTTAGGAGGTTTTCCAGGCAAGGAAGATCTGGGCTGAAATGCAGGGAGCACTTGGGAATGCTTCACGTGGACTAAATGTCATTTAAGCTGGTGAGGGACCTTTGGTCACATCTGTAGGTGCAGAGATCTGCCCCAAGTTGCTGGGAAAGCTGGAAAAAGGGAATATTAATTACATGGAAATGGCTGTTGTTTTGCTTCCAGATGCAATCTCACAGCACAGACAAGGCAGGAGGGCCACAGCTGGTTCCTCAGGGTGCAGACGGGGCCGTGGTGGCTGAGAGATTCCTACCAGGACTTTTGGGAAGAGGCAACTGCTGCTTGGCCTTGGCGGCCCCAGGAAGTGATGCTGCTGAGAGAGCCCCAGGACCAGCAGGGTCAGGATCTGTCCATCCTGGCCATGCCACGTCCATGGGCAGGTTCTTCTCAAGGTGCCACCCAGGTCCCTAATGCCACACGGGACCGGTGGCTCTGGGAGAGTCCACATGGGTGAGGTGGGAAAATGGTGTCTAGAAATGGAGAATATTTCTTTTTTTTCACCCAAATAAAGGTACACTTGGGCAGACAAGCAGCTACAAGCCCAGTGGGTTGTGTTAGATGTCTCTTGAGTCTTCTGGACTCCACCTAAGGGAAGAAATCCCATCTTTTCTGAAGGCAGCGGATGCTCAGCAGGTTCATCACGGAGATGCTTGGATCAATCTCATCACCCAGCTGCACGAATCCACCCCCTCCCATTTTTTTAATTTTTCCCTCTTGCTCCGCTCCTGGCTGTCTCCAAAGCAGTAGCAAATGTGCCATGAGATGATTTATGGCTCCAGGGAGCTGTGGAGGTGCCGGGGAAGCAGCGACGCCCCGCTCGCCGCTCCGCTAATGGCTCCAATAAAATCCAGATCGGCCTTAATGGTTTTAATATTCTTCCCATCGCAGCTCCGAGGATGGTAATTACAATCAATAGGATGTATTGTCTGAGAATAATATCTGCAAATTCCACAGTCAATTAAAAAAAACCCACGCTCGCAGGAGGGGAAAGTGGCTCAGGCAGCTCCGACTTACCCTCGCTCGTGCCAGGCTGGGGAAGGGATGGCACTGCTGAGGGAATTGTGCTGCCCACAGAGCTTGGTGCAGGCAGTGGTGATAAAAGCTCATCCCCGCAGCCTCCAGGACTTCTGCAGAAGCTTTTTGTGTGGGTCAGGGTGTGCTGGAGCCTCTTTTTCATCACTAAAATATTCCTGCGTGTGCTGTGGGGACAGATTGATGCCCGTTATTGGGTCACTTCGGTGGTAAATACAACAGATCCCACATCAGCACTGGGTCCAGACACATCACTTGGCTCCAGGCAACATTTACAGTGTGTTAGGAACTTAAATTTGTTTCCTTCTGACTTATTTGGTCCTCAAGGTTGTCCTGAGCCAGTGGAGGTGGGCACGGTGCTCCTGCTCTACTCAGAGCTGGGAGTGATCGGCCTCCAGCTGCCCAGGAAGGTCTGCAGAGCACTTTGGGGGGTCCCTGAAAAGCAGAAAAGAAGATCCAGAGTTGGTGGTGACAGTCCTAAACTCACCAGGTGCAGGCTGGAAGAGTTTCAGGTCTGCATTTGGAAAGAGCCAGAAACCTCCTGGAAGTGTTGGAAAGTGTGGATGTGGCACTTGGGGCCGTGGTCTGGTGGTGAATGTGGTGGTGCTGGTTAACAGCTGGACTTGGTGGTCCTAGAGGGCTTTTCCAGCCTTAGTGGTTCTGGACTTGATGGTCCTCGAGGGCTTTTCCAACCTTAATGACTCTGTGATTCTATGGAAAAGCTTTAAGGGCTAAAGTAGGAGATGCCCAAAGCTGGTAGGATGGCATTGATGGCCCAGGTAAACATCTGTTTCTTCTGCCTGTGGCTTTGTTGTTGTCTCCTCTCACAGCTGCTGGAATTTTAAAGTGAATTCAAAGCATGTATTGCAGCGTGGAATGAAATCTTTAAATAACTTCATAATTGGCCGTGGACAGGGGTCTGGTTTTCCTGGGTCCGAGCAGCTGTCGTGGAAGGAGAAATGTGGAGACCAGGTTGGAAAGAGGGAGGAGAGAAATGGAGCCAGGAATGATGTTTCTCCACCCAACAGCTGCTGGTTAAAGCCCTGTGAGAGTATTGGACTGTCAGGAGCATGGATTGGGATCAAGCTC